AGAGAGAGAGAGAGAGAGAGAGAGAGAGAGAGAGAGAGAGAGAGAAATAAATCATTTAAAGACTCTTATATCAGCATCTGCCCTATAGAGAAAGTTCAATCTGTACTCTTCCCACACCTCTATTTTCGTTAATGAATTTGATGTTGAAAGTCAATTACTGTGTTACTCAGGGAGGGCCATGATTCTCATGACCCTGGGAAGGAGACCTGGACCAGGACAGAGGGCAATAGTCTTAGTGTGCCCTAAAAAGCAGTCAAGATTTGAGAGTCAAGTCTGATACTCACTGACTTTCATAATTTTCCTCAGATATTGAAGCCAGAAACAGGGGCCTGAGCAGCAAGACCCTGTGCATGGAGAGTGAGCAGATCCTTCCAGATGGCTCCCGGGTGCGGCACTATGATGTGCACAGCCTGTATGGGTGGTCACAGATCAGACCCACCTACGAGTGAGTGACCATTCTCTGGTTGATGGAATGTGTAGGAGGCAGTTTTGACTGGTTTATATTCCCTAATTTGTCCTTAGTTTTCCATATTATGGGCTGAAACGTTGTATAAGTTGGTGATTAAAATTGAGATGTAAGATTAAAAAACAGGTACCATCACACTTGTGGTAACCTGTGGGGTTAAGGACCCATTCATATGGGGACACCAGGGCATTAGACAATGTAGCAGGTGCAGTGGCAAAAGTATCTTTAGTTAGAAGAGACAGGAAAGGGGGGGTGGTTAAAACCTACCTCCTTTATCTCAGAATTGTATAATCTTTTTAGATGTTTGCTATTTTATTTTTGCTTGTTTCTTAATCATTCTGGACAATACAATAAAATAGTCAGTGTTTCTTTTATTAAATAACTCCATGTTTTGTGTTTAATGTATAATATCAATTATTTTATGGGAAACTTGAAATTTCTATGCTTCCTCCTCAAATATAGAAATCCAAGTATTGGGTGAGTAACTTATAACTGTTTGGTGATAACCTTTGTGTTCATCACATTATGAGGTTTTATTGTTAGTTTGTTGTTGTTGTTGTTGTTTTTATTTTTTATTTTTTAATTTTTTTTGCAAATGATGAAAAGTACGGAAAGAAGTCCCTGCCATTATTGTCCCTATCACCAGCAGAGCCCTCCCAAATAAGTTCTCCAGCTTCCCTACAAGGATGTAGTAAACATTTGCCACCATACTTTAAGCGCAAGGTTTTGGAGGAGAGGCTCTATTTCCTTCCTTTCCCAGGCTTTCTTCAATATACCTCATTGTGTCCCAACCAGAGCTATGCAGGAGGTGACAGGAGAGAGAGGGATCGTCATCTCCCGCTCCACATTCCCCTCTTCTGGACGCTGGGGAGGACACTGGCTGGGAGACAACACAGCTGCCTGGGACCAGTTGGGAAAATCCATCATTGGTGTGTGGGCTGTGCCCAGGGGCTTCTGCAGGCAGGGATGGGAGGAAGATCCTTGGTGAAGGTGGAGGAGGAGGCAGAGGATGTCCTGTTCTGACTCTGCTGCATCTCTCATTGCAGGCATGATGGAGTTCAGCCTCTTTGGCATATCCTATGTAAGTGTCCTTTACATGCTCCTCCTCCCTAGGAAGATGACAGTGTCTCTGAGAAAAGACCAAGAACTTACATTGTTCCATATTGTTTCAGACCGGGTCAGACATCTGTGGATTCTTTCAAGATGCTCA